TAAATATTATGTATTGGGGATAACTAAAAATAATAGTTGGTTTAACTAAACTAATAAATATTATGTATTGGGGATAACTAAATATAATAGTTGGTTTAACTAAACTAAGTGACATTATGCGAGTATGTATGAACAACCACAAGATTAAAAAATCTCATGCAATTTAGAAAAAAAAATAGAGAATTTGGTACATTGAAATACAGGAAAAGGACTAAAAGGTGAGATAATAATTTTCATGAAATACCAGAAATAAAGTTAAAGTAATTTACTCTGTTTTAATTGTGTTGCATTAGTACTGTTGGTTTACTCTGTTTTACTTATTTCTTTTGCATTAGTACTGCTGGTTTACTCTGTTTTACTTATTTCTGTTGCATTAGTTCTGTTGGTTTACTCTTTTTTACTTATTTGTGTTGCATTAGTACTGTTGGTTTACTCTTTTTTACTTATTTGTGTTGCATTAGTACTGTTGGTTTACTCTTTTTTTACTTATTTGTGTTGCATTAGTACTGTTGGTTTACTCTGTTTTTACTTATTTGTGTTGCATTGATACTGTTGGTTACAGAACAGACTTGTAGTCAAAAGTAGTATTTTGACTAGTAACTAACTTAAATGGGTATTTTAGCAATGCAAATAGTAATAAGTTATTTTTTAATACTTTACAAAGTAATATTTAGCCAAATTAAATGTGTTTTAAACAATGAAAGAAATATGAAGTTACTTGTAACATTTTAGAGCCAAAGTAATGTATATGTTTTAACAGTACATGTTGGAACACTAACCAGAAATATGAAGTTACTTGTAACATTTTAGAGCCAAAGTAATGTACCATATACATTACTTTGGCTCTAAAATGTTACAAGTAACTTCATATTTCTGGTTAGTGTTCCAACATGTACTGTTAAAACATTTGTAACAGTACATGTTGTAACACTAACAAGAGCACTTACTTGAAATAATTCCTATGCTCTGTACTAAAATACATCTAGACAATTTTAGCAATAAATATAAATCAAAAGATAATGAAAATTTGTCAAACACATTTAAAAAATGTTGCAACTCTGGTCCTTGGGTGACTAGGCACATCTTGAAGACTGAAAACAAAGAGAAGACCTGGAGAAAAGAGTTGTAATACTAACTTGGAGTGTGTTATCAGCCACTTACTGACAGTACATAAGTACTCTTAGAAAAGTAATGTCGTTATGGGCATCTTACATAACACACAAAAAATTGCTATTTAGAATTTTTATCCAAGTGAAAATGTGGCAGTGCAAGGTAAACACTTAGGACTTATAACTAATCCTTAACATTTAACAATGTGGCACTAGACAGTTCCTTGTGGAATCTCTCAAATTACTCACTTGATATGCAGCCTTTGAAGTTGAAATAGTCTCTAAATCGTGGGTCATTTGGTTTTCCCACACTTCCAATAACCATCAAGTCTGATGTGAGTGGTTGTTCTCCAACAATGGAGCTACTTCCTATATCTCGAAATAATGTAACTTCGTCTCTTCTGTCAACCTGAAGAAAAAATACTTAACTGTTCTTGTGAAGCTAGTCTCATTTTTAAAACTTCTTCAATAATTACATTATCCTGACTATGAATGTAAATTATAAAAAAATTTAATTTAATGTTTTTTTCATAATTTCCTAGTATCATGAAATTCAAAAATTTATCAGAATAAAAAGCACATGAAGACACCAAAAAACAACAACTGTATATTGGGCAACATTATGTTTCAGAACTCAACAGATACTCTTCTAGTCTTTATAAATACAAGTACAAATAATCCCTAAAAAACTTCAATTTATAGGGCTGAGTACATTATATTAAAAAAGATTATGAATATACATATTAGCAAGTCACATGACAACCACAGCAAATATAAAGCTGTTGTGGAGAGACATGTTTCAGAATCATATTTTAATGCTTTTGGCATTTTGTAGATAATATGATGCCACAAAAATTTACTGCTGTAACAGTTCTCTTTGATGCAAAATATCCATACACTCGAATCATAAAGACATGTTCAGATTGGGGTATTAAAATTTACAAGGGAATATCCCTTATACTTAAGTGCATTGGAAAACAAACAAATTGGGATCAATATTGGGCACCAGGATCATCAAGAAACAGACCTGCAACAAGTATACCCCAACCAGAGTGAGTAAAGTGTGACATATTGTAATAACTGAGAGTCCACAAAAATGTAGGTCAGAGGCAAAATCGCTTACCTATACCAGAAGACAACAGTATGCAACATAATCAAGAAAAATCTTCAATAGGAAAAGCAACACAAGTTACATGTCCACAAGTTGCTTCCACTATATATCAATTCAATAGCTGCATACACGTCAAGCAGCTGGAAAAGCAACACAAGTTAAGTGTCCACAAGTTGCTTCCACTATATATCAATTCAATAGCTGCATACGTCAAGCAGCTGGAAAAGCAACACAAGTTAAGTGTCCACAAGTTGCTTCCACTATATATCAATTCAATAGCTGCATACGTCAAGCAGCTGGAAAATCAAATGGATATACATACTGTTCTATATAAAGTCATACTGGTCAAGTAGTGAGATGCAGCACCCCCTGGAGTTCTGTATGATTTAAACTGTCATGCTCAGAGCATACCCCCATCTTTCCATCTAGTACATGAGAATAATGGTTTTCCGACAGTTGTTTCAACAGTCTGTGATGGTGCATTTTGCAACAGAAACTATGCTACAAGGCTATTGTCAAGATGCATAGTCATCAGAGAGAAGATGACCAGATATGGTGGCATGAACTATAATAACATGGTAAGGATCTGAAATCATTTTATTATAATGTACTCAGCATCTTTAGAATAAAGACACAAAACTAGACTAATAAATGCAGGTATAAGTCAACAGGTATTCCCATTTATACAAAATAAACAAACAAAAGGAAGAGGTTTTACTGTTAGAGCTCCGACAGTACACTACCTTACCATTAATTTAGTATCCGTTCCTTTTCGCTGATAATAAACTGCATGTCGATATCCATCATTAAAATTTCCCTTCTTAACTGTTGTGCTAAGGACTATTTAAAAAAAAAAGAAGTATTTCGTGAACTTTCCTACCATAATATGCTGAGAATATACAAAAATCAATTAATATTACAAATATGAGTCTCGTGATATTAATACCTGAAAAACAATTCCAATGGTTCTGTAAAACTGTTTAAAAGTATTTAACTTTTCCAACTAACAGTTACAGAAAATTAAAACTAAAAATTTTCACCATTAAAAAATTAAGAAGTTGCTTGAATCACAAGTTTATACCATTCTTCATTATAAAACATAAATGCACATCATCTTAAACCTATGTCACAACCTTTTCTTACAGTTTCATTCAAAATTTCATTAATCTACCTTATTATGATAGTATGCTATTAAGTTTACATTAAAACATAGTTTATAATTCAAATATTTATATCATCCAAGTTTTAATTTCAAAAGGAGATATTTAAAATTCTCAATCTTCACCTCTGAGTCACATGATCAGGTGGCATGCAGACTTCTCATTTGTAGATTTTTTTTTCTCCTCTTTATAAAATTTTCAGATTGTTCAACCAATTATAAACACATACTATAGATACTGACAAACACATACTATAGATACTGACAAACACAAATTATCAACACATACTATAGATACTGACAAACACAAATTATAAACACATACTATAGATACTGACAAGCACAAATTATAAACACATACTATAGATACTGACAAACACAAATTTTCTTGCTTTATTGAGATATCACTATATTT